AGAAATGAATAGTTTTCTCTTTGACAGGTGAAAACAAATTACTGAAGTAAATACCCTGTTTCACTCATGCCCAAAGCAAAAAAGAAAAAAGGCGGGGGTGGGGTGTGGAGTAGGTGGAGTGCTATGAACACACTTCACTAAAGAGCTCTATATTTTTCATCTCCATTATCTTGAATTGTTCTAAAAGACACAAACATGAAACATATATCATGTAGAAATGTCTTTTATGTGCAGCTGTATTTTGTTAGTGCCATGTGTTTTAGATTCATATTGGTAATTCTTAAAAAGACTTTTTAAAACTTTCTTGCTACATATGTGATTTATAAGGAGTATTTGTGATATGTTGATAAAGTATGAAAAATTACAAAGACTAAGATAAAACATTTTATTGTCAGGTGAAAGAGTCTCATTTCATGGCTTTCTGTTTGTCTTCCACTTGGCTTCGTGATTAGCCAAACTTAGATTTTAATTGAGAATAGTTTTACATTTCATTGTGTGCTTTTGTTTTGTGTAATATGGAAACGGTTACTTGTTTAAATGATGCTTCACAGACTTGGACTAATGTTCATGAGATCCTGGTGTCTTTCGGAAGAAGAGTTTTGTGCTATCCCCTTTACCGCCATTTCAAGCTGGTGACGAAAACCTGCAGAGATACTATAAAGATATTGCAACTAGGTAAGATATTATTATGCTTGAAAATTTGAGAGTGAAACCTTACATGTTTTCAGTCTGTGAGGATGTAGTCATGATTTTTGCCTTTTTTTTTCTATACATATATAAGGGATGAAAATCATCCAATCCAACCACTTTTCCTCTCAGTTATATAAAGTCATAGTCTCTCTCTATACAGATGTGTAATCACACAGAGATGTGGTGCTCCTTCTGGAGAGGAGTAGGGAGAGTAAATACAGACAGTGTTCCAAACCTTTTGCATCATGGTAGATTGTATCATTCGGCACTTCTCGGGCGCCTGTAATTTTGTAGGCATTGTTCTAGGATAGTGGGTATAATAATAAATAAGATAAATTCCCTGCTCCTATGAAGTTTACAGTTTTGCCAAGGTAACAGATGGTAAGTAAGTAAGCAATTCCAAAACTGAGTGAAAAATTCTCTGCTGGGAGAAGGACAGTGATCAAAGGAGGGGCACGGAATCTGGACTTGGGAGACCAGGAAAGGCTTTCCAAAGCAAGCACACCTACTCTGATGACTTTTAACTATTGCTAAATCCAACCTGAAAAGACAAATATTTGCTAGTTTTAATGATGTGGAAAATTCTAAGCTCTGAAACAAATTCCAAAGTGCCGCTGACAGCATCACTGGGTTAAGTCTGTAGTTTCCAAGGTAATGACTTTGAAGGGGGCAACATCCATTTGTGTGTTTGAATTCTGGCACATTTATTTAAAAGTGACTTTCTGTACTTTATGGTCATTTCTTTTATTCTTCCTTGGGGAATCTCATCATTCCTTTGTCCTTAGATAAAAGTGATTCTGAGGGCTTAGTTTTCAGACTTGAGGTTAAGAAGAAGGAAGAAAGGAAGAAGTTCCTCTTTCGTTTACATCCAGGCGGCTTGATTGGCTTACCGGGAGGAATCATATCTCTTAACGTTTTGTCCCTTCTAGAGGTTTATCTAGGTTTTGCCTTGACCTCTTCTTGATCTGGGGGAAAAGTCATGTTTGAAGTAGATTCTTTAAAGTAGACAATAATTGTAACAATGAACCATAGTTAAATGAAAGGTGCTTTTTTATTCATCCAGTTGGTTTAGACTGAGTGCATTTTATTTTAAAGGGTTGTTGATTACAGGACAGCAGAGCTACTACCTTTGAGGAATCTGTCTTCTTTAACAG